CTCAATCTCGCTTCCACGCGACCAACATGGCTAGCCTCATACATCAAGAGTGTGTTATCCCTGCTACGCACTGACACATTTACAATAAAATCGGTAATAATTAGTAATAGCTATATAAACAAACATATGATGTGACGAGTGTTCAAAGCCATTAAGGCTCTGGAGCTCCGTCACAAATGAAGATAAATATAAATGAATGAAATTATTGTCATTGAGTTACCTCAAATTAAGAATCCGAAGCATATAATCCGACAACTCTAGAATAGAAGCTATGTCTTCGGATTCAATCCTAATTGCGGTATTGAGTTTGACGGCTAGTGAGGCGATAAAAAACCAGCATCCCGTGCTATTTTGCACAGACATATCTACGACTTCCGCGCCCAATTTTTTACATCATCGTAGCGTATTCAGCTACAGAGATACGACACATGGCTGGTGTTTTGCATATATGTAGGATGACTCTTTCGGCTCTGCAGACGCTTATACTCTGTATTTCATTCACAAATACCACTACGAGGATGTCCGTCAACACAGGACAGTCGACTCTTTTCCGTAGGTTCTCAGCGAAGGGCAGTTACGAGACTTTGGGCTATTCAAGCATGCCTTTGCCAACCATGTGCACAAACTCCGCAAGAAATGTGGCGGAGCATTACACGGCTCGATGCAGTCCTCATCAATCCCAAGTGAGATTGGTGTCCAAGCTATCCAGATTCTACTTGCGAGATCGAACTGGTTGATGTACCACTACATCATCCAGCCCAGCCCTTAGTTCCGCTAAAATCATATTCGAGCGCTACCCATGCACATAGCATCGTTGGTAATTTTGGCGTGCAGTCCTACAAACTGAAGAGAATTGTACACGCCTTGCCATAGATTGCGAGAGTGCGGCTGATACTACAAACAAAAGCCAACGATGAAAGGCGCTGTGGTCCACCTCCTGGTGGTGTTATCTCGTATAGTTTGAGTAGTCTGGACACCTACTTCACTTAGGAAGGAGACGTCTCACACCACATTTCGCGTGGAGTCAACTTAATGGATTATGGAGGCATGTCTGGTGAACTCAGAGTTTTTGAGAATTGTCTCTGGGTTAGTATTCAAGGATGAGGGCTAACTTGAGGTGAAGAAAAAGACGCCCTAACTTCGCAGTGGTTCTTGAAATTGGAACTCAAGGCATGAGTACTTTATTTTTAGATTGAGTCATTGTGTACTTTTTCTCTGATATTGTGTCATAGCTAGATAGCTGCATACGCCATTGAAATCTGATGCAAAAAAACAAAAATGGCATCGTTGGTAACTAGAATATACCTGGACAATAAAGGCACATCCGAAGGTCATCTATTTGTCTCAGGAATAGTAAAATCATATATGTAATAGAGGCCTGTATTCAATAACGGTACTTATTGCAAATATCGTGAACGCGACTTGGAGACATCTTTTCCGACAGATACAAGATCTATGAGAGACATATTGACAAGGGCGACAAGCCACCACGCATGAACAGCTTGAGGTAGAGTCATCTATGCTTAGCTGAAGCAGCCAGTTCAGAAATTAATAGCCAAGGAGCATCATATATACATGGTATTTTTTTTGAACTTAATTTTGGTTAGCCCGATTTGGCGGCCTATGGGCCCATTCAGGTGTCTATGAACTCTAATATTTACATAGGAGGAAACCTTTGCGGTAAAAACCCCCATCAACTTCTCAATTTGTCTACACTATGGTGCTATTTTACCTTTAGGAAGTGCACTATCACTGTCATGTCCAGTGTTGGTACCGTTCCCTTCCTTGCTACTGGGAGAAGTCTGTCAACCTTCTTCCCTCTTCTCTCTCCCTCATCGTAGCCTCGACTTCAACGGTAAGTCGAAACTGTTCTAGCCATCCTTTCTGCTGGATCCATTTTGTAATTGTTGCTATATCTTTTGGACTGTTCATCATGGCCTCAAACGACCGGCTCTCTGTCTTTCTTAGTATTTCTCCTCTTCCTTTGGCCTAGCTAGGGCAGGCCATGACCACATGCTTCACATTTTGAGACGGATATCCACATGGGCATCGTGGATTGTCTACTCCTGGAACTTTTCTTCTGTGCAGATAGGAATTGAACCTAATGTGTTCGCTTCTTATCTGCATGGCTATGCTGCTCTGGGCCCTGCTCAGGTGTTTGTGGATACTAATCGGCGTTCCTCTTAGGTTCACTCTTGTTCTTCCGGTCTTTTTATCTTTAAAGATATTTGCTGCCATCCATATACATAGTATTGTGTCATAGTTGTGAACCTAGGGTCTAGTGATACATAGGCAATGGGAGACGTAACTGAGACAAGGAGTCTCAGTTGACTACCGAGTAGCACTAGCGTAATCATGTGGAGCGAAGGCTAGTACGAAAGACGTGTGTATAATGGAGCGATATCTCCATGGACAGATAGAAATCGATGAAGCAAGCAATCAAAAATTCTCAGCATCAGCATTTGTATCATCCTAGCATCATCGATCATCCGATAATATTCCAATAGTATTAGCCTTCAGCAAATAAATAAATATCATTGGCACAAAAGCGCCCAAAGTTTCTGCATTGAGTCTATTATTCAGCGTGGGCCCGCCGCCCTTAAGTTTGAAATTTTATCTGCCTCACATCTCTACGAAAATAACCGTTGATCCATTGGTTGGAGAGGGGAGAAAATCAAGGCAGAAAGGCGCCTCTAGGAGTATGATCTTATGAGGACATACAAGGGATAATACTGTTGAAAGCATTCGTAATCGATGCATGTGTGAGAATATACTGTTCAAGAGAGAGAGAGGCATTTTTGTTGGACTACTTGAGTCTTAGACTATCGAGCACATTAGGTTCCTCTCTGGCCCGGGCAACACCTTGTACAGTGCTCATATCCTCATTTGTTACTGGTAAGATCATTGATGTATTGCCCGTGATGAATAGCCATTCAGCCACCTTGTCCCCGGAAACTTCTACTCAAAACAAATAAAAATGGTATCAGTGTGTGGGTGTGTATTTTTTCCGTACTACTTGAGTCATAGAGTATCTGATATATTGAACTCCTCTCTAGCCCAGACCACACCTTGTACAGTGCTCATTGCCTCACATGTTTCTTGAAAGATCATCGATATACTGCCCTTGATGAATAGTCATTCAACTCAGTTTTTACCCGTGGAATCCGGCCACCTTTTCCACGGAACCTTCTACCCAAAAAAATAAAAATGGTAGCAATGGAAACTGCGTGCGCGGGAAAAAGTCTCAAAAAACCTGCAGCCCAGCCAGGCGAGGCCTAGACACCGAGACCACATGAGGTGCGCATATTCATCTATATCCCCCTTGTCTGTGACCGGTGAGGCCAACTTGATCTAATCCACCGCCGCCGTGGCAGGTACTAAGTATGCTTCAATTACTCATCGGATGGCTTCATCATGTTAAAAAAGGGAGCGGATGAGAAGTAGGGCTTTGATCCCCCTAAGAGACTTGATCGTGGTTAGCTCCCTGATACTGGCATGATGGGATGTGCTTAGAGATGAAGATGAAAGTGTTACTCAATCTCGGCTCTGCGGACGCTACAGTGAGAGCTTGGTCTTCGTGGAGAACGCCGATGACAAGTGGGGGACATAATTGAACACCTATCAGTGGTGTCTTCTACGAACCTCCAGCTCTCACTGCAGAGTCTGCAGAGCCGAGATTGAGTAACACCTTTTCAACTTTGAGCCGAGTTATCTCTCCACATTCGTCAAAGATACGCTTCCGATTTCACGTAAGACGACTAAGAAGACGATAATGATGCTGGGAATGAGGAAAGGTAATGCGATACCAAACGCTATAACGGTAGTCAGAGAAGCCCTCGTCATGTCGCAACATGTGCTATCCAACACCGGGCAAAAAAAAAGGCCCTCAAAAGCAAAGTAAATGACCCTTCTATCCTCAAGAAAAGCAGATTTCGACTCGTCAAAAATATCGTCTCTTCTACTCATCAATTCCGAAGCTACCAGCTAGGTGGGCATCTGAAATACACGAGTTACCCGACGACTCCACGTCCGTAACGACTTTTAGATGCTAGCCTAGACCTCCTCATGACAGTCACTCTTAGGCAAGAATTTGCTGACATCCTTTCACGACCTTCGGATTTTCCTGTGGCATGAATCAGGGGAGGAGTAAGGAGGAGGCTAGGAAGGTTGAGAGACGCTCTTGGGTATATACAGGTGTGCTGCGCCTGGGTTGCCGGCCTCTTCGTCATAGGAGAGACCCGCACCCAGTGGTTTTTGAGACTTTTCCCAGCAGCTTCACACCCGCAAATGGCCATCGTTTTTCTGGCTGGAGAGGGGAGATAATGACGAGACAAAGGCTTCTCTTTGTGTGTACTCGACTGAAGACATGCGGGAGTATTACTGCTGGAAAGATGTCGTGAAGGAGGTATAGGAAGAAGTACACCATCCGAGGCAAAGATACTCCCGACCTGTAGGCAGAAAGGACCTAAATGTTCTCACATAGTCGTAGGCTCAATAGGACAATATACATATTCACACCAGTGACAAGTATTGAGATTTCCTCCCCGTAGACATAGTATTATATCACGCTAAAGCTCTGCACCATTCAATGACCACACAGAGGGTCAAGTTTCGGAATACCAACTATACTGCACCAAGATTTTTCTCTCTGTATGATCATGTGGTTCCTACAATGCCACACATAATGCTACATAGTCAATTACTCAAATAAGGACAGATCAGATTTCCCTGATATTATTAGTGGAGCCTAATTATCGTGGCACCGTTCTACTCGCCTCCGCGGATTAAGACGATTTGTCTAGCTTCTACAAAAATTATCCAACACCGTAACCTCGGCATACAAAAGCCATCACATCGTTTAAAATCTCAACAAGCCATAACAGAGCGCCACCCAGAACGCATTCATATACTCCGTCCACGTTACATTCTCCAGTAAGCGTACTTTTAGTACCTGATATCGTACAACCCTGTGACCTTACTCTCTTGACCAAATAGCCGCTTCACCCGACTCTTTCGTCTTCGATATCAACAAGATCGCGTCCTGATCCCCCTAATATACTTGGTACTGCCTTTCTTCCAACTCTCCTACCCTTTCCACCCACATCTACACGAGGCGCTCCTTGAATTGCCCGTGGTTCTCGCATTAGTGAAATATCTAGCTTGGCCGGAATGCGTGAGACGACGGCATGATAATCGCCTGGAAATTTTGCTGTAGGTATAGGGACTGCCGCAGAGCGCCAGAGGTGCTCCATTTGATTGTGGAGGAAATATGACTGCTTATTCTTCGAGAAAAGGGACAGAGAAGCACGGCCACGATTTCTTTTAGCCATTATGACGCTATCAAAGAGTTGGATAGAAGGTGAACTAGGAGGGGTTGTTTCACGAACATGAATAAATTCATTCAACGCTGATCAAGTTAGCTAGGTTTGAAAGTCTATGCAAAGATGGGGAGAGGTCATACCTTGTGTATGCTTTAGCATATTCATATATGTATGTTGGTCACTAGGTAAACTTTTGATGAAACCATTCATATCAAACTTGAATAATAATGGTTCGCAATTTTTCTCTGTCTTCCCGGGTTTCATCAAAAATTTTCGGTAGGTGTAAAATAGACTGGCGAAGCAACGAACAAAGGCAGCCCGAACCTTATCCGGGTAGAAGGCAGCGGTACAAACTAGGGAAACCATTCCAAGACAGCGGCCATGCGAAAATGTACCACAATGGTTACATTGATAGATACCGTCAGTTTCTGCTTTTTCATCACAAATTGTACAGACAAAAGAGGTGACGCTAGGATTCAATTCAAAACAATGACCCTCAACCCAGATATTTAGTTCTGAGTTGTGAACTGGTTGCATCAATATATTTGGTAGAACAGTCGATGCCGCTAAAGTTGATACAGCGTAGGAAGAAGGTGCATAACCATACATAGATTTGGCGTCAACTGATAATGCAGAAGTGGAAAGGCTGGCATGATGGCCGTGGTTGAATGGAATGCTAGGCTTTCGTAATGTTGATTGTCTCTCAATTCCAAAGGATGAACTGCGCCGGGAATTCATATCGAAATGACCGGATCTTTTTTCTCTCAAGGTAGCAGTCAGTGCAAATCCAGAATCATTCTTTGAACCTGGTGTAGGAGGTAATGTTGGAAAACTTCCAGATATCGGCGAGACTGATGACGGTGGGCTCGTTTGACTTGATTTACTTGTTGAAGGCCTTTCACTGCGACCATGGTCGTTTTTAGACTGCAGAAAGGCATTGAACACGAAGCTTCGCTTTGCCGACGTAGAATCAGGGTCACCAAAAGCTGATGAACTCTGACTAATGTACTTGGCGAATGTGCTCCGAGGTGGATGCTGGGTGAAAATGGCATCATTTTCTGATGAAAATGCATTGTATGGAAAACTTTCGATAGCATATGGCGGTGGACCGAAAGGCACACCGCATCGATTGTGATGAGGAGCAGCATACTGAAGAAGTGAAACAAGTTTCCGCCTTAGCTGCCTTGGTAGCGTGACAGGTGAAGCAGAAGCTTCTATGGTGTTTTGGTCTAGATCAACCAAGACATAATCATCTTCTGGTAATTCGATATTTTCATATCTTCTTTCAATCCCAACTATATATGGGCAAGGAGCTTCTAGGGCTGAAAGTAGCCTTGCAGGTAGTACAGGTATAAAGATACTAGCCCATTTAAAAGGATAGAGAAGATTTGCCAAAGCAGCACTTGCGAGGTGTAACATGGATGTGTGAGATGAAAGAAGAATGATCCTTGACTCGGATAGTGCAAACTCGAATAAAGAAACGATGTTTGGAATGCTCAGAGACCTGAATAGCGCGTACAGGTCAGTGTTTCGAGAGTCTGGGAGCTCATTTGGGGCTTCTTTCCTCGCAAATAGTTTCAGGTCTCTGACAGCGAGTTCGACTTGTGTCTTCGAGCCCATGGGACTCAAGGCTTCTGTGCAGAGATTCACAACATATCTCTCAAGAGGTTGCCACCTACCGACTTTCGGTGAGCTTGGAGGAACCCTAAGAACACCACCATCCGTCATGGGAACAATTATCGCCTTGAGCCATTCCTTCCAGAAGCTTGTAAGACTACCATCACGACCGAGAATCCCATAAGCTCTCGGTATCCAGAGTCCCGTTTCGCCATCGGTGAGTCCATCAATTTTAGAGGCGGCACCATGTCGTACAGGGCGCAGCAAATCAGTCATGAGTCCAATCTTCTCTTCAACAGTGCTAATTTGTTCTTCGAGGGCATCTCTAGAGATGGACCCAGAGATCATACTCGGTAATTTGGCTAACAGTTGTGACAGATGAGCACGCTCTGATGCAAGTCTTTCAGCTAAACTTGCTGCTAGTTCTCGTTCTTCATTGGTCATATGACTTTGTCTCCATTCTTCACACCTTCGCTCTAAATTCTCTGCCGCGTCCGCATTTACAGGCATCCAAACTATGATTGTAATTCCATAAATCTTTGTTGCGTCGTCTAGAGTCATAGCAAAGCCATGCCATGTTGAGCGAGGCCGCTCATCAGCAGATACAATATTAATATCATTTGGAAATGCGAACATAGGTACGTAGTCTGGGAATCTACCCCTTCTCTCCACTTCTTTAGTCGCCGTTTTCGGAGGGTATCTATCGAGTAGGACAGGCTCAAACCGACGCTTCAACGGATGCATCTCGGGATCTGCATTGAGGGGCTCAGGAGGTGGAATTACAGAATTATAACCACTCAAGCGTCTTGTGGTTCGAATTGACACTGCAAAAAATTGTCAGTCTATACTTTATAGTTTACAGGATATTAATCCCTAAATTAGTGCTGATCACGTCGCACACATACCATTTCTCTGCAAAATAGAAGGCTGCTTTTTCATACTGTTCATATCCCGAAAGCTAATGTGCCGGCGAATGCTTCCTCCAACGCTCCTTAGCGAGTTTTTTTTGTTGCTATGAAGGAAGCTCGACATATATTCGCTGTCACTACTCCGCGTTCGAGCTGTTACTTTGGGTGAGAGGGGAAGCTCTGTCATAGGTGGCGGTTCTTGGAGTTGTGCTCCAGCACGAAAGCTTAAATCATCCAAAAAGTGCTCTCGCTCCATAGCAAACGTACGGAGAGCCCGATCAAAATCAAAATCTGTAAGTCCATTGTTTCCTTCGTTCAATATACCACCTGATGTGTAAGAGTTCGGCGGCGCTTTAATTGTCATAGAGGATCTATTGCTGCCCATCATATCCGAGTCATCGCACTCTTGGATATTCGAGTTGCGTTTACTGAGTCTATTAATGGAGCTCTTCCTAGAGTGAGGGGTTCCGCTGCCATGCTTGATAGATTCAGTAATACTTTCATATTCGCACCCCTCTTCTATAGCGTCCACAGATGGCTGGTTTGGGGTGATATTTGGGGAAGTTGGCTGCTGAAAATCGTTGTACGACAGTGAGTCAATGCCAGCGATCCAGAAATAGTCTGCGAGTGGAGCGGAGGTGTTGTCCATATCATCTATTATAGACCGCAAATCTACCGAAGGTTCGGTATTGAGTTTAGCAAGTAGTGATGTACATTGAAAGCTCCTAGTTCTTAACCTGCTGTTTGTAATCCTGCTGCGAAATTTTATGTAGTATTTTACTCGGTTGCAATTGAGCTTTAGGCAGTGGAAGCAATTAGAAATAGCAATGATCGACTGATTGTTTGTAACTTTTATCCACACTGCATTGTGTAAGCTAACGCCTTTCTTTGTCAGTGGATTGTTTGAAAAAATTGTGGATATCGGGGGAGTGGGTGGTCTTATCTCCTTCGCTACAGATCCACGTACAAACAAGGAAACAGGCAGCTTCTTATGATCAAGGGCAAAGCGGAAAGATAGATTGTTTGCACATAAAGATTGATGGTATTTTTTCTTTGTCTAAGCCAAGATCAACTTACCCTGAAGTCCTCGGAATGTCTATATCATATAGTCTTTCCGGCGCTAATTCCCGTTCCCTTAAATATTTAAAAACGAGACGAAGAAAGGCTTTGGCGATTAATGGATTTGAGACGGAAGATAATCCGTATTTTTGATTGGTTATAGACAAAGAAAGATGTCTTAAATATGGAATAAATTTGAGAAGTGGAAGGTAATACCTCGGTTTACGAGCCTATCTTACTCTTGCTGAAATATTATTTCGTAGGGGAATCTTGTCTCCACTCAATATTTTCTGATAATGACCCATGAGGCCACAGACAACTTAATCACCGAGATAGCAAATGCTTTCTGCCGCAAGATGCGCTCCAACTGTCCGTTGGCATATAAAACGGCGCTAGTTGGCGGGGTTGGCTCGAGAGAATAATTGGACATGGAGCACGTTGCTCTGTATGGTGCGTCCGTCCCCCCTTACTGTTACAAATAAATATTCCAAAAATAAGAGCACTCAACTTCCTTGATCGACAGAGCTAGGGCCAAGGAGAGTAATAAACCTGCCATCGCCCGTAAGTGACGCAGGTCTCCAACTTATTAATTGCATGATGTGCGCTTCACGCAGGTCGGAAATTTCACTGTTACGAGGTTCAGTCACGCCGAAATTATTTGTAAGGTTGGCGTAAAATATCCATGACCTAGGATTATGTAGTAAAAATCTAGTTGCATAGTATTATTTCTTAGGATCTTGAAGTTAGACCGACGCAAGGGGAATCTTCATACTATTTTCCGACTTTCGTTCAAGTACCCGCGTCACGTCTGAGTTATTCTATTGCTACAAGTCTGCGGATATCAATACTAAAAGCTAAACCTATCACAAACTCCTTGTGTTAAAGGGAATGCGCGTCTTTGAAAAACCTTGAAGACTGTTTCTCAACGTTGTATTGTACGAATCAAGCGAAATATTAAAATGTATGTTTTAAAAACTTTTATATTCTTATGCATCTCAACTGTAATTACCTAATTCTAGAAAGAAAGAAGGTAAGAGATCTCTTTCCACAAATTATTAAAAGTACTTCACACGGTATTTCAAACGTAGCCTCCAAACTCCCTCTAGGTAAATATCCATGCAATAATTCGCCAATGACAATAAGTTTTCCTATAAATAGAGAGACTGGGCTGCGACAATATCGCGTCTTATCTTTGCCAATGAATCCTCAAATTTTTTGGACAATTCTTCAGATCCCATGACCTTACCGGCCTCGGCCATCTGGCGGAGTAATTCCTCGAGACGTCGAAAGAGACGAATAAGAGATCCTTCGTAAACATCGGTCATTTTACTATTCGCTAGTTAGCTTTTGTTTGTGGGAACCATTTGTTTGGGTCTTGAGATTTACCAGATCTCAGCAAAAGATTTGCCTTGAGCCCACGCTAGAACTACATCGATTAATTCCCACTTGAAACTATCTACATATTCTTTTTCATTGATTGCCAGCTTACTTTCCATGCTGACCTTTGCAATTATTCTTGCTTGTGCTTGAATCGCACTGTAATGATCCTTCAACTCCGGCTTGAGTGGTTGTGCCATTTGACTTTTTTCCTCAAATATAAAGCATGACAAAGTAGCTGCACATACTTCGGGTGTCATTTCATTAAAAAATCTATTGAACAAGAGTTCGGAAAGAAGGAGCTCATGTCCGTCGCCTGTAGAGGAGATTTCGCATGCAACACGTCCTTTGAGCTCAACAACTTCTTGATCATTTATAAATCCTAAGCGTCGGAGAACTCGTTTGCGTGATTTAAGTTCATCAAGTTGAATAATACTTAGGGCAGATGAGAATGCCTTCTTTTTCTCTTTAATTTTCAAGCTAATTTCCTGCTTGCTCGTGTATTGATTGTAAAGATTTTCTAAACGAGGAGAGTTATGCAGTGGGTTTGCTAATAGTCGAGATTCAAGGATCTCAACCTTGCGTAGAAGCTTTTTGAATGAAATGTCAGTGATTCCCATGTTTTCTATTGGATCAAGAATGGCGATGCCATCGGGGAATCGACGCTTTACTTCTTCGATGGATTTACCAACAGTCTCGCGTTGGCTTGCATGAGTGAGGTCCGATGGTAAAAATATGCGGATGTGCCCAATAGTGTCAACACACGAGAGAAACATTGGAACAATTTCTATGGTCTTACCCTTCTCGTCGAGGGCCGGTTGTATAAAAGGTTTCATATCTTTACCTAGAATCTGTGAGTTGACGGAGGAGTCCCGGCACACTGGTATAAGAACATCAAGAATATAAGATTCTTGTGGCGGATATTTAGCATCTTCTCCCTTAGGTGGTCTGCGTGGCTTGAAATTTACGACAGCTCCCCAACCAAAATCCTGATCACCATACTTAATATATACCATACGTCCCGGCTGCATAAATTGTAAACAGTAGTTTGGATGATTTATAACGCTTCGAATGTCCTTGCCATAGTCGTCAAGTTGCTGACGAAGCTCTACGTACTCTTTGACGGTTGATTCATCAGGAATTGTTAGGCTACTTTTCGCCAGATGAAGTTCTTCTAACTCTTTTTCTAAACTAGAGATTCCTGAGGTGTTCTGGAATTGATAGAAACAGTGCTCTAACATAAATTCAGGGGAGATGCCTTCCACCCGCATCAAGTTGAGAATCATGTTGTAGCCTAGGTAAAATGCTGAATTAAGATTATCTTGTGTCCCTCGAACAATTTCTTTGCAGGCTTCTGGCTCCATGTTGTTGCTAATCATCATGATGACGATTCCTCTATCATCAAGTCCCCTGCGACCAGCACGCCCAGACATTTGCACGAACTCAGAAGGGGTCAAATCTCGATTTTTAGTGCCATCAAATTTCTGAACACTTGTGAATACGACAGTTTTTGCCGGCATGTTCAAGCCAATCGAGAATGTTTCAGTGGCAAAAAGAACCTTAATTAAATTCTCTTGAAATAAAATCTCAATAGTCTCTTTTAAAATTGGCAGTAACCCAGAATGATGAACCCCAATACCACGGCGCAATAGGGGTAAGATGTGCTGAATCTGCGGCAATTGCTTGTCTTCGTCCGATAAAGACTCGATAGCACTTTCAAACACCTTTGTCACCATAGCCTTTTCTGAATCATCGTTAAAAGCCATGGTGGACATCTTTAACGCATACGCTTCGCATTCTCTTTTGCTGAAGCTAAAGACGATCACAGGATTATAGTGCTTCATCATAATCATACGCACAATCTTGTATATATCGGCATTATCGTCCTTGGATATTCCCTTGTTAGTCTTCTTATTATTACCCTGCCCTTTTCTCTTTGCGTTGATATCTGCTGGATCTGAGCCTTTAGTATCTTGAAGTGATGACATTGCTTTTTGAAAGTTGTCTTCACGAAAGTTTCCCTTTTCGTCTACAATCAAATGTATTCCGTCAGCTCCGGCGGGGAAAAAGTAGTGTTGAAGTGGAGTTGGGCGAAAATCAGTGTATACAATGTGACACGGCTGGTGATGGGTTTTGGTAATCCACTCTGCGAATTGCATAGCATTCGGTATAGTGGCTGACAAGAAAACATATCGAACCTTATCGGGTAGCAATATTATAGTTTCCTCCCAGACAACACCTCTAACCTTATCTCTCATGTAGTGAATTTCATCAAAAATAACCCACTGTACTTCCCTCATTATTTCTGACCCTCTGTATAGCATAGACCTTAAAATCTCAGTTGTCATGACTAGGCATGTTGCAGTTGGGTTGATTGTGACATCTCCGGTCATTAGCCCTACATCTGCAAATTCAGCGTGGAACTCTCGATACTTCTGATTACTGAGAGCTTTAATTGGACTGGTATAGATGACCCTCTGGTTGTTCTTTAAGCTTTGTGCGATCGCGTATTCTGCGACAACTGTCTTTCCAGCACTTGTATGCGCCGAGACTAGAATTGATTCTCCGCGTTCAATCGATGCGATGGATACTTTTTGGAAAGGATCTAATTCGAATGACCAGGTACGAGCCGGGTTCTCGGGTGATTTATGTTGTGATATGGGGACATATTCGTAGCCTGGTGGCAGGGAGACTTGATGTTGAATGTTGTGTTGTATTACTAAAGTTCCATCATCTTTACCCAAGAGCCCGGCTGATGCAGCGACCTTTCTCGAAGACTCTGTTTGAAATGTGTCTGTAACGATTGGCTCAGCACCTTCATCTAGGCGGCGCCTTTTTACCACTTTATTTCCATTCGCAGAACTGCTTTCATTCTCTTCAACCATGCCCTTGCTGTCCACCCCAGTCATCTGGATATCATCATCATCATCATTATTGTCTGGAGCGCCCTTGATCTCGTTACTGGTGGCTCTTTTCTTAGTTCGCTCTTTCTTTTTATCGGGACGATTTTTTTTGGGTTTTCTAGGAATAGTATCGTCTTTTTGAGTGTCCTCGAAGACATCAAACAAATCTTCGTCCATGTTATTGAGGCACACAGATAAAAGAAGGCACCGTGAGGTTAAGAATTTGAAGGGCGATACTTGTTGGGTGCATTTGCTTCTCAATCGGAATTAAAACTTGCAAATAAAAATTGATGACAGGCCCCTACATTAGTCGGGTACTAAATTAGTGCAGATTCGACCAGTCATCCACAACAATCAAACTACACTATTAATTGCCAAACAAGATACAAAGCATCGTCTCACAGTAAGTACTGCTGATATCAACCATGAAATTTACGGATTGAAGATTATCAGCACTCATTATCAACGATTACACTGAATATGACTAATTAAATATGGTTTAGATGCTTCCAAAAGCCCTTGTTCGCAGCACGAGGCTGCCCACTTCTAAAGGAATCCAGTCTCGCAGTTTTAATTCCATGAGGACTCTTAGAAGTTCTCCTTATCATTATCCAGAAGGGCCGCGCACAAATATACCATTTAATCCTTTGACGAGGTTTTTCATAGTACGTTACTGGGCATTTATGGCAGTAGGATTTGGTATGGACCACATGAGTTATTAACGCACAACTAACGTACGGACAGGTGCTCCATTTGGTATCGCAGTGTGGCAGACTTGTAAAAATACTTAGTGAATTTGCAAAAAGCGAGTGCAAGGTTCAAAATTAGTACCACTGTAGATAAAGAGTAGATAATGGCAGTACTCTACTTAACGATCAACTATGATATAACACAAGTGCGAGCGATTTCACCGAAAATTAAGGGCATCTGATTGGTTCAGAGCGAAGACTGGACCTGGACACAAAATCTAATCCTACATATCTGATCTTTCACTAATGGAGGTCTTCGTGCTTTGTTCTAGCCAGTTTAAAAATTCATTCCACCACTTTAGAACAAATGACCATTGAGGAAGCTGATCCGAATTATTGAATCGTGCTAATAATCAATTTGTAACATAAATTGATAAAAAATTAAAGAAGATTTTCGCGTGGAATGATTTTCATAAACTTTAAAGAGTCACTGCAGCAATAATTTTATGAATAAATTATATTTTATATTGGATTGAATAGACATGCTCTCACACTTGATCTATAAATACTTACCCGAATAATTAGACTATGGAGCCGATTTACAAATAGCTGTAAATGACAAAGTAATGTAGGCTCCTTCCAATTTACCTTAATAAAATATACGATACACCTGCTTTTAAGATGATCTACTGATAAATCTGGCCGTTATTTGATCAAATCAGTTCATTTGACAATAAGCGTCCTTTATGGTATGAATTTAAAAAAACTGCCCCACTTTAGCTGGCTTAATGCAGCACTTCATTCCTGTAGTGTCAATATCTGAAAGATTCAACTAAGTAACGCCTGTTATACAAATATTGTGACGATAAAGGCGCAACTTGCTTACTCAAAACTTAATTCTAGTGTCATGAATAAGTCTATCCCTTAAACCAAAATCGATAAAGCCTTCGAAATCAGACTTGATCTTAGCCATTAACTTTACTCCTTCCGTCATTTGAGCTTGATCCATGCCGTCCAGAACTACCACATTGGCCCTGAGGATCCACTTATCCTCAGAATCGAAAAGAGTTAGATCATGAAAGGGTGGAATTTTGATCCGACTATGTTCATTCCCCAGGGGAAGTAGTGAAATTCGATATAATTCAAACATGACATGGTCGTGGACAAACCGTTGAACTTCTTCAACTATCTCACAGGCCATTCTAAGATGGTCAATAGACGGATCATTGAAAGATGATGACTTGCCTGTAGTTGCTCGAATTCAGTACTTCACAAAGGTTCGTTTCATCTTCAATAGTTATGAAGAGACGACTGTAAACTAATTTGTTGACGCCGGGTTCGGGAACATCAGTCCAACGAAGAGTACCTGGAAGCTCATCAAGGTTTATCCTGCCAGCTCCATTTAGCAATTTGTAGACACAGGCGTTTGAGAATTTTTTGACTTACGGACATTCATCACCCTCACTATCCTTACCTGCATGGGTTTCGGAATCTATATTGTAGGTCACTGTTAAGACATATGATTGCTTGCTCAAGTATTCGTGTAAGCTCTTCCACAGTAGTTTTTTGGCCGGCGCTGCAAGCTTTACAATATCATGTTCTAAGTTCAGCCCCTTTGGATTTCGTATTTTGGGGCCCTGCCAATAAGTCTTTCGACGAAGTAGATTAGCAGGAGCCATGTTGCAGTATCCCTGGAGAACCTGAACAGTTTTCTCAAGATCTTCCTGCAGGATTATACTTTCCAGGAATACTTCATGCATCCTCGAGAAAAGTGTCAAGAAATGTTGCCAGCAGGGAGTTCTACACGTGTATGGTAAACACTAAACTAGTTTAAGGTCTGGGATACTTGTGACGGTCCAGAATTTAAATTTAATTAAATCTAAATGGGTAACGACAAAAGTGCGTGTTGATTCCAAATTATTCTACTTCATGTCATCGGTTCGATTGCCTGGTGAGCATTGGCGACTAATTGTTGGAGAGGTTTAATTAGAGATGCTCCTGCGGCTATCATCAAGCAAAAACGTTTGGTTATTTTTTCATGACCTCAAAATCATCGACTAGAGCAGATAAAGAAAAATATTAGCCATCCGAGCCAAATTTAGAGTTAGTTCCGCAACAGATGGGTTATTCTGCCCCGCTCAGACAACTAGCATACAATGCGTTCACCAGCTAGTAACATCATTCTGCAAGTCTACTTCCACCGGGCATATTTGTTAAAGACATATTAACCCCACAAATTTGATGACATGTTTTCACCTACTAAAGTCTATAGAAAGGCTCTTTCTACTGATAGAGCTCCCATGATCAAGTTTTTAGGAAAACGATCAATTCCAAGTATGCATGACCATTTAACTTCAATAATATTAGTAGATGGCTGAACGTAAACAGAATTCGTAGACCATACCCCTAAAGTACATCCAGAATCTCCGTCAAGGAAGCTCCCGGACGACTTCGCCTCCTACAGGCAGCAAGCACAACAACATGGTCCCCTCGGCCACTCAAAGATGACTTATGGTGGTAACATCGGATCGATGTCAGGGGCTTCTCTCGGTTCTGTTGAACCACAAAAGGGGGAACTGTTCGAATTTAACCAGCTTCCAAAACGATTTAGAAAAGTACCCATCGACCCCGCAGAAATTGACGCAATCGAGACCGGAGGTGCTACTTCTGTTTGTTGAGCGCTCCTCATACGCGGACACTTCCCCGACAAAATATCGAGACTATCTTTGCATGCAGCTTAAATTAGCAAATAAATGGCAATAAATTTGATAATTACCCTTTCAGATATCAGTCAGCTAGATCTATGCCATGGTTGGAGCTAAGATTTGAAAAACATGATCAAAGTTGTTTGCAATATATCACGAGGGCGAAATCACTGTTATCGATGCAAGTTTGCGAAAAGTGGAATAGCTACCAACACTAAACTGCATGTCCTACTATCTAATGTGCGTATAGGTATACCGCGGATGACCGTAGTAAATAGATTAACTTGGTGATTCCTGAGTGTTACAAAGGTATGACTCTTAAATACATGTTTATCATGATTCTCGATTTTATCATTGCTTGTCCTTACAGACTGACGGAAGCTCAGTTCCATTCTTTTATGATCCATTCCATAAACATAATCTATCCCGTCAACTCTCATCGTACTAGCAGGGGAAATCCTCATTCGATCATTCAAAGACTGCGTCCGTGCATCTAGTAGTAGAGATATCATAAATGTCACAACTGATACCAACTGGCGATCAGACTGCACTCAATAACTGAGAATTTCATATTACAATTTTCTTGAAATCTGCACTCTACGTGAAAAATTTGTAACTGAAACAGTTTGGAAGTTATCCTGGATTTTTAACTCTATTTTGATGTTCTAGTTCTTTGGAGTCCAAGAACTTGACCCTGATTGTCTACTAGAACAGAGGTCAGAACGTGACGTGTACAAATATATTAAGTGTTACTGGTGAATTTTGTAAAGATTAAACATTCCTCATTGTCCAAGGCTTAGTAGAGGTTTTAATACAAATATAATATAATCTTTGAAAAATAGTATCCTACTAGCTCTACGCGCTTTTCGTGACAAAATACTGACTGTATATTCAAAATTTTTAGAGATCCAAACCTGGTGAGTGAATTATTGAGGTGGGGACTAGATATCAACACCTCTCGTCGGTGCTCCCTACTTACTTCTAGCTCTCAATTTAGAGTCTGCAGAGCCGAGATTAAGTAACAAAGTCCTTAATTTGATGAGGATTCCCAATCGCTTTCGCCGTCTGTATCGTCTTCATCTCTCAACATAACCACTCACCACCTCTATCATGAAGCTAACCACAATCAGATCAGATGTTTGTGTCGAAGCCCTTCTCGTCACTAACCATTGATCATGGAGGAAAAGCTATCCAATGAGTTTCCGGAGCGTACCCAGCACCCTATAAGGCGATGGTGGGTTGGATCAAGTTGACCTCGGATGTTACAAATAAGGGAGATATAGATGAATATGCGCACCTCATGTGGTCCCAGTGTCTGAGCCTCGCCTAACTGGAGCTGCGGGTTTTTAAAAAATACCTCTATCGCCCGTACTTTCCATTGCTACCATTTCCATATTCACGGGTAGAAGGTTCCTCCGGAAAGAAGGCTAAATTCTACGATTCGGTACTGATGGAACTGGATATTCAACTCGATCTTTACATCAGATTTTTTTTCGTAACAAAAGAGTATAGGAGCACTGTACAAGGTGTGGCTTGAGTCAGAGACGAGCCTGTGGATTAGTTCGCTCAGTTTAGAAAAGCCCTAGCTGTGCGGACATAGATAATCAGAATCTGTAGTGGGTCGGCATTCACGATGATTCTCTAAACAAATAGCTGTCAGAAAATGGATTTTAAGCAGAATTGCATTAAGATTGAGTAACTGCTAAGAAGATTGTGTTAATTGATTCTTCCTCTTGAGCAGAAAGATTTGTAAAAGCTAGTGGCTGTAAGGCTCAGATTACATCAGTTGATGATGCGAGTGGGAGAATAGGAAACTCTCTAAATCTTTCGTGGAGAGTTGTTAATTACTCCCACTACGGCATGGAGTTTGAGTGAATGAATGGTTATTCATGACGGGCACAAGCTCTGCACTCAAAGAGCATGAAAAGGCGAAGAATAGCTTCTCGGACAACTATATACGATGATAGGGTCGGATGGTGCAGTGGTACACCATCCGGGCCATTCTCCCAAGTAGAAACCGGGTAGCTTGAACACCTACCCCATTCGAGCCAGGAGAAAGCTGGTTCGAGTCAAGTCAGACTCACAAACCACACTCTCTCGCGGTGACAATGTACTCATGAGATGATGAAAGCACACTCGGATAGCCACAGGGTTTTAACGCTTTTCACTGCGGTGGGTATGCACGTAAGAGGCTATACGCCGTAAGGGTTAATCTTGTTAAACATTAGGAAGTATCTAAGGTTTAATTAGTGTTTGAATCACATTTGGTTATATGGGGTCCAATAATAGATAACTTTAAGGCACGTATTCCAGGCCTGGTAATTAGCAGAATACGATGGCTACATGATGGAAAGGAACATCAGCGATCGAAGAAAAACGGTCGCAATCGTGGTTCAATTGTGGTCAGCCTCCCATCGGAGGCAATGCAAACGGAGGTAGTGCGACAGGGCCTTGTTATCAACGCCATGCTCTTCACCGCGCAGGTATGGTCGCCACGGGCTCAGCCAAAGCAGTGTTACAACTGCAGCCAATGGGGACACACGCAGGCGTCGTGTGGAAAGGCAGCCAGGTGCGGTGAGTGCGCTGGCGCTCACCAAACTCGGGACTGTCCGAGGAAAAGAGTTTCCTGTGCCAACTGCGGCAAGGAACATCGTTCATGGCAGAAAGCAGCGTGTCGGACCTACCAGGTCTACAAGGGAAGTGTGGAGAAGGCTCGGATGGAGCTGTTATCGAGAACGGCAGATATTTGGAAAGAAAAACCAACAATGGCGCCAACACAAACAGCCAGACCAACTGATGATCAGGGATTTACTTTGGTCACCAGTAAAAAGGCTGAAGGACTCAAAAGAGGGCCAGGACGACCACGCAAGGTAGTCGAAGCCCCAGTGGCACCAATCATCGCCTCGACAGCAGAACCGCCATCGGGACCTACTCTTCGAACACTTAGAAGACCAACGCCGAGTGAGGAGGTGCCTTCTCTTTTCAATTTCTCATAACGTTAGTCTGATTGAAGGGGGAGTTAACGAATTTCGAGGAAAGTTTATATAATTGCGGTTGAAAGGAACGTCCTCAGCATAAAGCCGGGTCGGTTCAAAGTGGCAGGACATCGGGTTTTGTTTGTTGAAAGCTTTTTCCCTTACCAAAGCGGCTTACCGTCTTCATGGTTCTGTATATAGATACCGCATAGGACGTTAAACTAGATCAATGAATGAATGAATAGATAACTTTAAATCAGCTAGTTAAACGCACGGTCCACCTAGAGAAGTGATAACTTCTGGGGACCGATGTTTGGAAGAAAGAATCAAGCTGTTTCTACTGAGTTGTTGATACCTGTAAGTATTCTTCACGTGCTACAGGACAGGTTCCCCAGTTTCCTGATAAACCTCGAGTGGTATCTGGAAATAAAATCTGAGCGTGAGTGTTCTAAATGTCAAATTGAGTCATCCTACTTAAGGTGCATATCTTCCGATAAATATCTGCATGGGCCTAAAGGTGTCAAATCAGGATAATGAATAATTATTATATACGATGATAACTTAGTTTGACATTTGGACTACTCATGTAGTGGGTACATTCGCTTATACCACTCTTTTTTTTATTCATAGTGTATTCAGCTATCTAGCTATGACACATTATTTACATACTTTTAGTTCCCAAAACTCCTATCTAAAATATAATCTTTGTTGTAATTTATGCGACAGTGGAGTTAAGAGTATACTGCATACCAGCTATATATTCAGCTGCGTGTGGATACTTGCTCTCGAAATCAGGTTCATTATAATATAAATATATGTTGGAATTTAGAACAATTGGGGCTATCAAGTAGGCTACGTTGTTGATACACACGTGACTACAAATTTTGTACTTAGTTTCACTTCGGTAGGTACTTGAATCAATGCGCTCTACAACCTCAATGACTGAGGGGTCATTATTTCCTAAATCATATATATATATATATATATATATATGATATATTGTGTGTATTATAACTACAACTATTGGTGCTTCTTTTTTACTTGTTCTTACAATTATCTACACACTTCACAATTACGGAAAGTGTGGAATAATAAGCGAGACACGTGATACAATTACAGATTTATTGCATGACTTTCAACAATCCTTATAATTAATTTTCTAATCTCCAATTTAGCTATCCTAGTTCAACTCCCTTTATGTGCCACCATGCACCTGGATGTGTCTAAATATTTAAGAAGTGCTTCTTTTCCTCTTCTTGTTCGAAATAATATAGGTAGGGTTCTCAGCTCTATACCCTTAAAACATCTGTTTCTTTGATATTTAAATTTCGGACAATGTAACAACAAATGTTGCACAGTCTGCTTTTGTTTTGAACAAAAATTGCATATATCATCTTCAACTTTTCCTATCTTGTGCAGATACACTTGGGTATTTGCGGCCCCAAGCCTAGCCTGGAAAAATCCTGACTCTGTCTCCTTCCTGTGATCTTGAAATTTTAAAAGCTTGAATGAAAGGCTGGGTTGGTTAGTCTGTGCCTGGATCCTGTAGTACTTGCCCAGTCTTTTTGCTTTCCGGTGTAACGGCTGTCAAGCCTTAGGGTTCCTGCAGCCTATGCTGTCTAGCGCAGGCAATTATACGAAGGGAGGTTCCTAGAAACATCTTGGATGACAGGGAACTGGGATGATTCACATTGAACCTTGTTGAAACATACTGAGAGTTCGTGAGAGTTACAGGAGTATCAAGGATCTACAGGCGATTGTCGGAGAGTCTGAGTTGACAGGTCATAGAGAGAACCTTATCGAGGAGGGGTATTTCAGACTGTATATATAGGTAGTCATTAAGTACAGGAATTTTCTCTTCAGAGAATTATAATTAAAATATTGTACCTACAACATCGCTCATGCATTTTGTAATGAAACCGTGACATCCGGCCCTCTTCCTCATACCAGAGCTCGAGGTTCCAGTCTTTATTTCATGCCTTAAGCACTAATTCTTTT